TTAAGAGGGTTTGCGCAGGCCTGGGATATATGGAGTGACAAGCAAATGCCACCTCTGGGCGTGGCACGTGATCCTACTTTTCATGGTTGATTAGGGCCCTGGTTGGAGAAACTGTAAGGGCGGATTTTCAATATACAATTATCAAGGATGAAATCTAGGTGAGCCATCGAAAAGTCTTTATCAAGTCACTAAAGGTTTCCTAGCTTGTTGATATTATGTATAAGGCAAAATCCTTCCTTAGACAGCGTGAATGCAGCAACAAATCGGTAGGACCTTGCTTTAACTGAGTACACTAAATAAATTTATCATGCGTGAGGTTTCCTAGTTCAAACTGGGTGATCGCGTCATCGTAGGCCTTGATAATTGGGTCGTATAAGCGGCTTGGGTCTTGGGGAGTGCCAACAATAAGGCCTTTGTCATTGTAAGGAAAGAAAATGTCTCGTAGTACCCGACTAAGTGGTAAAACGCCACGAAATTTTGGAGGGAACTCCCTCAAAATGAATCCAAATCCCATGTTTTCAGCTTTGCTCATATGGCCAAGCTTGGCGTTTGCAATGTCCTCATAGTTACCAGCATACCAGGCACGAAGTTTACTATCTTTAGAATACTTATCCTTCCCCCAGCCATTACGGGCGAACTGCCAGATAAGCACGTAGAAAAACGACTCAAGATCATGCCGATAGGTATGGTCGATATTAAGTAGCACCTCGATCGCCATGAACTCCATCGTGCCAGTCTGGTGCCGCGCGCCGCTTCGCCCGCTTCCGACTTCTTTGGCAAGATCCAGATCGATCAGCATGCCCGAGTGACCATCCGCCTTATCTGGATCGGTGATGATTATGTTGTTCTCCGAAATATCCCAATGAAGGAAAGAGTTTGACGAATGAACACTGCAAAGGAAAAGTCGAAGTAAATCAGATAAGAACAAGGGCGAGTAGAAAGAAACAAGGAACAAGTGTAAACAATCCAGTCAAGGGAAAATCATAAGAGATTCGTAGACGGGTGTTAAAGGAAAAACAGTGTTGAAGATCTCCTTTTCTTTCATCAGGTCAACATCGGGGTTGAAAGTGTGGAAAAGATTATTCAGGGATACTTCCAAAAGAGGGGTCCTTTACGCTCCCTCCAGCATCGCCGAGGCCGGCAACGGGGCGATTGTAGGACCAGCCTTCGAACTGTCGTTGCATGGTTTGAGATATAACAGGATCCTCAACGTACGAGTCAACAGGTGCTTCGGCCGTGAGTACCTTATGGAAATTCGTTATGTCCTGCCCGTCGACCTGTCATATTAATACTCTGCGTGGTCCCAGAAAGTGTTTAGGTTGAAGGTAAGGGAGGGAATTAAGTATGTCGAGGGGCCCAAAGAAAGATGAAACATACTCCATCAGGACGGAAGCTAGGCTCATATTTTCTCTGGAGCAGCTTGCGCCAATCAATGTTGGAGAAGAAGTGATGTGCTTTGATTTCAGCGGCACCGTTTGCTCCGAGACGACGGTTTGGATCACCCTCAAGTAGTCTAGTAAGAAGGTCCCTCGCCGCACCAGGAACAATATCCTGGCTTGGAAACGTAAGTGGTTCTTGGAGGATTTTCCGGTACATCTCATTCGTGTTCTCATCGTAAAATGGTGGAAGCCCCGTTAACATCTCGTACAAGAGAACTCCGAGTGTCCACCAATCCACAGCCTTTGTGTATCCCTCGCCAAGCAGGAGCTCAGGAGCGAGATATTCAGGTGTGCCACAGAATGCTAGCAGCAAATTAGAGCTACACATCATTTAAAATTATCTCGTTTAGCAATCACTTACTATTTGTCCGGTCTTCATCTTTCATATCAAGCTTACACAATCCAAAGTCGCATAGGGCAATATGGCCAGCATAATCCAACAGGATATTTTCTGGCTTAAGGTCACGATAGATGATTTTAAACCCGTGTAGGCATTCCAGCGCGCAGATCAATTCCGCTGTATAAAACCGGGCCCTGTTGATATCGAAGCGCTGTTCCCTTTGGAGGTGGTGGAACAGTTCACCTCCGTTGACGAAGGCCAAAACAAGATATAGCTTCTCTGGGGATTGGAATGAGAATTTGAGAGGAACGATGAAAGGATTGTTTATTTGAGAGAGCACTGATCTCTCAGCCAGAGTATGTGCCACTTCGGATCGAGAAATGATATGGGTTTTGCGAAGGATTTTCATTGTATAAATACGGCTAGTATCACGTTTCCTTTAACAATAGATATATGTTAGATCGCCGGGCAGTACGACATTGCAGGATGGGGCAGCTAAACTTACTGACTTGATGACATTCAAACTGCTTTACGACGATTTCAAA